AGATACCAATACCATTAGGAGAAATTTGAATTCAATTCATTAATTAATAGATCACACTTTTTTTCTTTTTTCATATTTAATTTGACCCAAAAAAGTATGTAAATCTGTAACACATAACATATGAAACTATGAACTAACAAAGAACAATGGAACATATGTTATATGTAAAATTTTTAATAATTTTGAAACAACCAAAGAACATTCAGTAAATAATTTTGAAACAATGGAACATATGTTAATAATTTAAATATATACAATTTATAACAACAACCAAAGAACATAGGAACAATGTAAAAAAACCAATTAAATAAATTCAGTAAAAAATCAGAACATTCATAAAAACATTAACTAAAACTCATTATTTTTTTATAAAACAAATTCTTTTATTAAATATTTATTTACTTATAAAAACATTCGGTCAGTATCTTGGTTTTATTATATATATTGAATGATATTAATTTATATAATTATATATAATTATATTATATTAATACAGTTTATAGTTTGGTTTGATTTATAAATTTCAATAAACCAAACCGAAAACTTAAACTCTGCATTTTTCAAAACTATGAAACCAAACCATGAACACCCCTAATGATACCAAAAGAACTTTGACCAATGAGAACCACCCAATTAATTTTTTTATGAATACCTCGGTTACCACTTTTGTAATTTCGGTTGATTGGTTATCAAATTTTTAGGTATCATGCCTTTTCAGTATCATGGTCGAACTGGTTATAATAACAACCTTGCTGTGTTTTTGGTAGTTTTCATTTTCAGCATTCTGATATTCATTCTTGTCTCTGTTCACATCCATTCACTTGTATGTGATCCAAGAGGGAGAAAAGAATCAATTGAATTGCTGTTAATTGTTTTTTCTTTTAACTCTTATGTCATTGCATACTATACATTTATTGGTTAATCCATTTTGGTCCTCTATTGATAAAATATCAAAGGAAGTGTTTAGAATAGCCAATTCAGCATGGAAGCATAGAGGTTCTAACAATTTGCATTGTCAGACTATTTGCCTGACCTGATCTCTATGATCTTCAAGTTCAAGATATGCTCACAAAAGTGTAACAAATCTTTACTCTCTGGGGATTAGTTTGCAAGTAGGGTCCCTGATGGATGGTCTGGGTTAGCTGCATGATTCCTTCATCTGGCAGATACGGATGACAAGAGGCCTGATTGGCCACCATTTTCCATGATGAAGTGAACATAGTTACAGCAATGACTAAATTCATTCTTTATGAGATTTCAGTAAGACTAACTTAGTAACATCAAACCCAGAGAATATTTCACTATAGCCACACATACCAAACTCCTGTCAACATTCCTTAAAGTAAGATGATGAAGGGTGCAGCCTAGCGACTAAGGTACATGTGGATGCAATCAGCCAGTAGGATGACAACTCAGTAAAGGAGCTTTGTCAGCAATTTGGAATCTTGGGAGCTTGGGAGTTTGAGCACCTTGGCATAAAGTCATCTCGGCATAAAGGCACCTCGGCACCCAATTTAGTTCGGGCAAAAAAATCAAAGTGCCAGTTCAGGGCCAAAGATCCAAAGCGCCACATAATTGACTCCAGAAGCTTCCCCAACGGACTCCAAATTTCCCGGGATCACGACATTTAATAACAGGGCTCATCCTCACTCCGCTCGAATCGGAGGAAAGTGATAAACCTTATCAACTGGCGCATTGCTCTCCTTCGGAAAAGGAACGGATCTTATCTATGCAGCCCGGAGATCCCAAAGCCTTTTTGTAAAATTCACGACTACTCAATTATATAAGGGCATCAATCCTCAAGGTTAAGGTACGCACGATTACTTGCACCCAAACTCTCTAGCATTCATACTTAGCTCGCAAACACACAAAATACTGACTTAAGCATCGGAGCGACCTCACCAAGTCTTTCACCCCGGTCCTTCTGAGCACTATTTTGCAAATTGATCCAGCTCGCCACGCAAGTACGTCCAAACAATTCTCCAGCTAGGAATACCACGTGGCATATTTACTACATGTTTCTTTCTTGTTTTTCTTTATTCTTGAACCTTTGTAAGGTTTGTATCTATTTAAACTAGAGAAATGAAAATGCTCATGATATTCTGTATTTTAGAAATTGGTTGGGCACTATTACACTTAAGGCAAATTGCCAAAGTAGAGCTTGGTGTTTATCGGACCCTTGGCCTGGATACTTGTTCCTCTCCTTTCTCATTCCCTTCTTCATTTACCTCTTCCACACACTCCTCCAGTGCCCTTTAGATTGCCGATGCTGCCTTTTATTGTGCAACAATAGCCAAGATCTTTAGCGTTCGCCATTTCTAAGAGATCACACCGATTGCAAGCACCTCGATCGAGTGAGATATAGATACTACTAGTGTATGCATATGCACATTTTGTAGTATGGGTGGTCCATGTTTGGGGTGGAAGAAAGAGCCAACAAATGCAGCTGCTGTGGTGGCAGTAGACATGTGTCTGGTGGTGGTGGTGGTGGTTTCTTCCATTGAAGTGAAGGTGGTTTCAACATGAGGGAAGTGAATTAAGGCGATATGAGAGAGATAAGGTTTGATTTTGCATGGAGCAAAGAATGTACTACTATTAAAAGTGTGAATGGGAGTGTAGAAGATTAATTTGATTGAAATATCCCCAATCATTTGAATTTGATTCATCTTTAATTGTGAGGACAAAAATATAATTTGAACAACCATTTTTCTCATTCAAATCTGTCTCATGAGATCTTATATTTAAGGTATGAAATCACATTAACATTCATTGAATCATATTCTTGACTAAAATATCCTTAATTTTGAATTTGGTTTCTCCCTTATTATGAGTGCAAAAAATGTAATTTGAACTGCAACAAAGAATAAGTGTAACAAAGAATAATTATTTTTATTGATGATAGAAATAAAATACAAAGAATAATTAACCATATTAAAGAGAATAATTATTTTTATTGATGATAGAAATAAAACACAAAAGGGTCCGCTTGGTTTGCAGGAATAGGGGTCTGGAATCGGAACCGGAATGGGCTATTCCGATTCCAACTGTTTGGTTAGGCGGAATCGGAATCCCATTCCCATTCATGCTAGAATTGCATTCAGTAATTTGAACTGTAATTTTGAATTTGGTTTCATTCAATCCTATATTAATTAACCATATTAAAGAGAAATAAGTGTAACAAAGAATAATTATTTGAGCTTGATGATAGAAATAAAATACAAAAGGGTCCGCTTGGTTTGCAGGAATAGGGGTCTGGAATCAGAACCAGAATGAGCTGTTCCGATTCCAACTGTTTGGTTAGGCGGAATCGGAATCCCATTCCCATTCCTACTGGAATGACATTCCCCAATTTGAGGGAATGGCCATTCCCTGCCCCTCCCTTGGGAATGAAATCCCATTCCTATTGATTTTAATTCCCATTCCATTCCTGTCTAAACCAATCAGACTATGGGAATGGACCGTTACGATTCCGATTCCGATTCCGACTATGAACCAAACGGACCCTTAAAACAATAAAAAAATGGAGTTGTTTTTTTGTTTGGTGGCAAGTTAACAATTCAAAATTTTGGATCAAAATGTGTCTACCCTTGATATCATAATTAAATAACAACAACAATAACAACAACAACAATTAAAAGGTGAAATCACACAAAGTATAAAAATACCAAAAAATTGTAAAAAATATTTCAGCACATCTAATATTGTATATTCATTATATTAAACAAAAATAAGTGTGATAAATAAGAATAAATTTTATAGATATAAAAATGTAAAAAAATTTTCAAACATATTATGTACTGTTGTCATCATTGTCATTATAAAAAAATTGTCATATGCAAAACATATACCCACTCACTATATTTATAAGATGCATGGTATGAGCTTTTCTTTGTTGTATGTTTTTCCTCAAATGAATGGATTATGGGCATATTGGGTCACTCTGAATCTCCTACCAACAAATTCTTCTCACCTCCCTACTCACAAGACATTGATGCGGTCATATGTTAGCAACATCTCCCAAGTAGGGTTGTTCACGATTAATCGAATCATAGGCCTATTTTTGAAATCGAACTGGAGTTATTGATTTTTGGAAAATTGGTAACTGAAACCGAACCAAAGCCGATCAGTTAACCGGTTGACCAGTTCGATTAACCATTGGTTCGATTCATCGGGTTTTCAATTTTTTTATATTTATAATATATATTATAAAAAATATGTAAATATATAATAAAAAACTAGAAATATATATAATATTATATTTTAAATAATAAATAATATATTATATATTATAGATATATATTTATATATAATGCATAGTTATTAATTTATAATATATAAAAATATATATAATATACATAAATATATATAAAATATATAGAAATATATCGGTCGATTCAATTAACCATCAATTTTCTATATTAATTAACCGAAACCGAATCAATACCTTTGGCTTTTTAAAAATATCGAACCAACCAATTCAATTAACCGAATTTTCGATTCGATTTTTTTGGTTTTTAAGATCACTCCTACTCCCAAGGTGACAAGGGAGATATTCCGAATGTGTAGTGTGTAGTTGTAGCCTTGTAGTGTGGGTAGGGTTTTTGGGTCTTGGTCCAAGGTTCCAACTTGAGGCCTTTGATACATGTTCCTGTGGGACTCATGTTGGAATCCACCTAATAGAATAAACCGTCTAATTAAAATCCCAACGGCTAGAAAGTGATGCACTGTTAGGTGCGCTACTCTTCCATTAATTCGAGATGAGATGGATGATATAGGGTCAGGGTCAGGTCAACTTTAGTCCGGGTCGGGCTCGATATACTTTCCTTTAGTCGGGTCGGTCATTTCATCTGTCGTCACTTCGGTTCGGGTTTGGTTTGGTCCATGGACGTATCCGAACGACCCTTTGATATCCCTATTCGCCCTATTCGCCTATTCGGTTGTTCTCTATTTCTGCTCCCCGAGACCCGACTCTCCTAGTCGCATCAAGAAACTAATGGAGTATGTTCTTGTCTCGCTTCGGTCCACGACTCGAGCACGCCGGGATATTGTTTTCCCGGCTCACCGGAAGCAGCTTTCCGTTAGACCGGTTGTCACTCCGGCGAAACCATGCTGTAGGAACATTATGGGATCCAAAGCCTCTTAACGCCAAGATAACGTACCATATGAGAAATGGTTTCGTTGAAGAAGCTCAGAAGATCTTCGACCAAATGTCCCACAGAAGTACCGTCACGTGGAATTCCATGATCCGAGGGTACTTCGAGAACGGAAAGTTTGACCTGGCCGTCCAATTATTTGACGAAATGCCCAAGCGTGACCTCTTCACTTATAACACTATGATTGCGGGATTGATGCAATATGGTGACACCGAAGGTGCAGAGCAAATTTTTGCCCAGATGCCATGTCGAGATGTTGTTACTTGGAATTCCATGATAGCAGGTTACGCCCGAAATTCTTTGGTAAAGGAGGCCCTTCTGTTGTTCAATCAAATGCCGTCTCGAAATGTGATTTCATGGAACCTGGTGATGACGGGGCTTGTGAATCTTGGATCAATTGAGCTAGCGGAAGAGCTGTTTAGGGAGATGCCAACGCGAGATGTGGCGTCATGGACAATCATGATATCTGGGGTTGCAAGTGCAGGTCGGATTGTCGAGGCCCGTGGACTGTTTGAAGAGATGCCAGTAAAGGATATTCGAGCATGGAATACAATGATCGTTGGATACATACAAAATGGCAATACTGAAGTTGCTGAAGGGTTGTTTTGGAAAATGCCAGAGCGGGATATGGATTCTTGGAATGAACTGATAAATGGGTTGTTGGGCAGTGAACGGATAAATGACGCCCTGAGAATTTTTACCAAGATGCCTTTTAAGGGCCCAAGACTGTGGAATTCAATCATGTTGGGATTGATTAAAAGTGGACTTGTTGAAGAAGCTCATGCATTTTCTGAGAAAAACCCATTTAATGATATCATCTCATGGACAAACTTGATTGTTGGGTATTTTGAACTAGGAGATGTTGGCACTGCAATCAAGCTTTTTGAGTTGATGCCTAGTAAGGATGAAGCTGTATGGAATGCTACAATCTTTGGATTGGGAGAAAATGATCATGGTGAGGAAGGGCTGAAATATTTTATTAAAATGAAAGAGAGAGGTCCACCCCCTGATGAAGCTACCTTTACTAGTGTTCTGACCATCAGTTCAGACTTGCCGTCCTTGGATTTTGGAAAACAATCTCATACACAAATAATCAAAATGGGCTTTGATTGTTTTGTTGCAGTTTCCAATGCAATAGTTACCATGTATGCAAGATGTGGGAGTCTGCATTATGCTTTGCTGGAATTTTCTCACATGCAAAATCGTGATACCATTTCTTGGAATGCCATAATCTGTGGGTTTGCACACCATGGATATGGTATGCAAGCCCTTGAGATGTTCAAGAAGATGCTGCTAATGAATGTAAAACCTGATCAGATAACTTTTGTTGGGGTTCTATCAGCTTGTAGCCATGCAGGTTTGATAGATGAAGGTTGGCACTTTTTTCACTTCATGAGATACAAGTGTTTTCTTCAGCCAACATTTGAGCATTATACTTGTATGGTTGATTTGCTAGGGAGATCTGGACTCATAGATGAGGCCATGAGTTTTGTTGGTCAAATGAAAGCAGAAGGAATTGAAGTTAGTGCAAGCGTTTGGGGAGCTCTACTTGGAGCCTGTAGAATCCATGGGAATATTGAAATAGGTGAGATGGTTGGAGAGAAAATTTTAGAAATAGAGCCTTACAATGCTGGTGTATATATGATTTTGGCAGAAATGTATCTGATTAATCGAAGGAAAGAAGATGCAGAGAGGATATGGGTTAGGATGAAGGAGAGGGGCTTGAAGAAGCAGCCTGGGTGTAGTTGGATTGAAGTGAACAACACTGTGCATGTATTTCTTGCAGGAGATTGTTCACATCCTGAGTTTCATAGTGTCTGTTGTGTTCTAAACTTCCTGAACATGGTGATTGAGATTGAACTTGTATGAACTAATACTCTTCTGTTCCAGACAATATAGGTTTTACCTAGTGGATATGGTAGGGGATAAACATATCCCCTCCAGCTGTTTTAGTAGTCATGTGCGCTTCATCCAAATTGTAAAATGAGTGAGCTCTTATTTCTTTTTCAGGCAGAGAATGAGATTCTTTTATAGATTTTTTTTTTGATGTTTTACTTTTGACCTAGGAATGTTGTGTTACTTTTGACAATATCACAGAAATATGACTTCATCTATCTTGCAGACAAGGAGAATCAGCCCAAAAAATAAAGAAAAAGAAAAGGTAGAAGCAGAAACAAGTATATTCTGTAACTTGAACACATAAATAATAATGCAACAGGTAACTAATCTATATAAGATTTTATATTTATGCACTCCAATTTACAAAATGTGGTGCTGCAGTTAGCAGTGGTTGATACTTGAGAGAAATAGTTGGGCATGGAATTTGTTGGACTGAATTGATTCTTCACTTTAGAATAGTTCATCATTTTGAACTGGTAAATAGATTCTTATCTTGTAGAGAAGCTAGGGATAGTCAGCCAAGGCTAATTTTATAAATGTTTTCATGACACAGTGTCAATGGTCAGGTTATCTTGTATCAAATTCAAATTCAAATCGTCCTCTCTGCAACCAAGATTTGCTTTCTTATCAAAGGCAAAAGCTCTCTGTATTCTAGATTGGGATGGAATTGCAATATACTTTTCCTATGCATTTCAGGGAGAAGCATCAGTTTATTCACACAAGCCCCAACTCCAAAATGTCCAAATGAGTTCCTATGATAATACTGGCAGAGCCACTTCATACTTAATATAAAATAATTTAAAGAAAAAGCATAGCTCAAAATCAAAAGTGTTGCCTTGTTTTATCTCCACCCGCTGGGCGCTGGCTTCTCTCAGCGTATAATAATCTCAGATATGTCATTTATCTCCTCCTAATAGGAAACAATTTTTGGATAAGAGCCAATTAAATAGGAACTCATTAATCTTTCTGATCAATTTGAGGATGAAATGAGATCCAAGAAGAAAATAGAGAGGAGAGAGAGAGAGAGATGCTGTGTGTAGGGTAGGGTTTGCAGGTTGTGTATGGTGACGATATTGATCAGGGTTAATTCGGGCTTGAACTGTTCAAGCATGGATTTCAGAATTTGAAGAATACATTGCAGGATGATTTGAATCATCTTGAAGGATTTGGAACTGAAGGGGTCATGGATGGTAGCACATTTTGTTCCTTAGGACCTTCTTTGGGTTATGGGACTCGTCCCATTCCTCTTCAGGGTCTGAGTATGTGTAAAAACTGTAGCAGATTGTAAGTTGCATCATAGACGATCCTTTTTTTTTTTGTTTGCTTTGAACTTGAACTTCAAATTGTGCTAAGAAAATATATGCTTTGCTGAATTGCTTTTTTTTTGCTTCATATTGATCTTTTATATTTTGCTACCTTATCGTTTGCATTCTCAAGTTTTTTTTTTCTTTTTTTTTTTTCAAACTTTTTCTCCAGAAGCAGACGTGGTTTGTTAGCTTTCTTGTTTACGTTGATGCCATTTTGCATGGATAACCTTCTAAATACCTCCTGACGCTGCTCTACCGGTAACCATGTCAACAATTTTCCATCCTGTCTTCCTCAATGCCACCTCTGAATGCCCAATCTGTCCCATCTTAGTGACAAGTCCAGATTTTCTCCTCTATTTATTTCCAATACAGGGTAGGATGTTGTTGTGAGGTCGGTGTGAGGCACCCTTTGTGAGGAGCAAATCACAATTCCTTAGTGACCACCCATTCATGGTCAAGGAGAATTACCTGTGCCTGGATTTGCTCCTCACAGAGCATGCCTCACACTAACCACACAGCCACATCCCACTGCATTGGGAACATCTCCCATGAATAATAAATTCAAGTATACAAGAAGTTCCCGACGTGTAGCTAGAACATGCTGTGAGATCAGTGCGAGGCAAGCTCTATGAGGAGCAGGCACGGACTCCTAATTTGAACCCCCATCCTCATCGTACTCCCCTACGTAAGTAGTAGGCAGTCAGGAAGTGATTTCAGCGATTTGGTGTTCCCTTCACACCCAACTCCCTGGAACGGTATTTGCAAGAATCAGCTTCAGTTAATGAATTGATATATATGCATTGGTTCTAAGGTTGCAACTTGGGCCGAGTTGGTCCAAACCCAACCCGAAAAAGTTGGGTTGGGTTGGGTCAGGTTGATGTTTGGGTTAGGGTTAGGGTTGAAATTCATGAACCCGACTTTACTTCGGGTTGGGTTAGGGTTTAGGGGTGAGCATTCGGTTTTTTCGGTTCAAAACCAAACCGAAAAGACCAAAATTTTAAAAACCGATTTAACAATATGATAAGCCAAACCGAAACCGAAATATGTGAAAACCGAATAAATCAAACCAATTTTTTTTTTCTGTTATTTAGGATATTTCAGTTAAAACCGAAATTATTTAAATTGAGTCTCATTTCACCAAGATAAAAAAAAATGTATACCAGTCATGTGGTTACTCGTTAAGTCAAGCCTTCTGTCAATATGTGTTTTATCCAAAACAGAGAAGAAGAAGAAGAAATTGGAGATGAACGAAGGAAGATGCAAGAGGACCGAAGCTTGGAGGAAGATGCAGCAGTAGCCATGGCACTCGACAATGATGGAAAGCTTTCTATCAGTCCGTGTTCTATCAAAAATAGAGAAGAAGAAGAAGGGAGTACCTATCCAACTGATGTTTGATTGTGAAGACACGTTGACTTAAACACTTTCTGATGGTACTGTATGAAAGAAGCTGAGATAGAGGTAATCTCTTTTGTAGCAAAATAATTGAAGATGGCTGGACTTGTGAGGCAGGGCAGCCACTAACCAGTTAACAACAGTACTCTGACACGCTGCAATGACAGTGCTGATCCGGTGAAGTAGAGTAGAATTCAAAACTGAGAGGTAGGCAAATGCAAGTGGGAGTCTCTGCTTTTTGACCTATTGGGTAGTGGGTTCAGACATTCAGCTGCTATTTTAATGTTTTTTTTTCACTCTTTTACGTTAGTCTCTGCTTTTTGACCAACTGGATAGTGGGTTCAGGTGCTATTTTAATGTTTTATTTCACTCTTTTACATTTTTCTTATTTCAGAAACTAGCAAGCGCCATTTTACTTGTTTTTCACTCTTTTATTCTTTATAAATTATAAAATAAATAATATTAAAAATATATAATTATAATTGTAAATCGGTTTTTTTGGTTAACCGATTTATAAAGTATGATAACCAAAACCGAAACCTGAAATACAAAAAAAGCCGAACAACAAAACCGAAACCGATTAGACTGAACCAATTAAACCAAAACAAAAATTGTGGTTCGATTTTTCGGTTTTGACCGAATTGTGCTCACCCCTAATGACCACTTAGCCAACCCGAACCCGACTCTATAGTACATGTCATATATAAATATATGCTATATATAATATATAACATACATTGATTTGTTTAGATGCATGATATTTGTATAACCCCCACCACATAGTATTATGTATTTCTTTTAAGATAATCACTTCACTTAATCCTAATCACCAAGACTAAAACCTTAATAACATTATTTTATGTTTTTTTTTGAAAATTTTATTCATTTCCTCTATTATTTGCCACCCAAGAAAAATCTATCATAAGCCATAACACATAATAAACTACAGTCATTTCTAACACTTGTTTTTCTTAATTTTGTACCAAAAGAACAAAAAAAAATACGTTAACAAACAAATACTAATGAAACATATAGCATTAATATATGTAGTGAAAGTTAAGATCTGAAATCAAGAAATTCTATGAGGTTTTAAGGGATGGGAAGAAGGTTGAGTTGGGCCCCAACCCAACCCGAAATTGACTTTAGGTTAGGTTGGGTTGGATTAGGGTTGAAGGAATTTAGTTAAGGTTAAGATTAGGGTTGGGTTGGTCGGGTTGGATTAGGGTTAGGGTTGGGGTTTAGAACTTAGAATTGGGCTGGATTGGCCTCAACCTGACCTAACCCGGGCCCGACTTGCAGTATTGGTTTCCACTTCACAACCGCTATAAATAATCTGAGTGAGAATTTCATATGCCCAGCCAAAACCCAAAATTTTTTTCTTTCACAAACGGGGCATATATCTGATAATACAGGGTTAGGATCGTTGAGAAGACATACAAACTACTAACATATGTGGATACATGATGGATTGATGGGGAATAAAACAGTGCTGTTGACATGAAAACATTCCCACGTGAATGATAAATCTACTAATGTACAAACAACCTTAAATGCATTCAGGAAATAGAATTACAGACAACACATTAGACATCTAAAATACAATTCCATTACAATGCAATTCTCGGGTTAGTTGAAACACCAGTTCCTTCTTTCACACCTTTGCTACAATTAGGAATTAGCCAACCCAAATCCAAGTTCCAAAACCCAGGGTACACCTGAATGACCTCATTTTTTTTCCTGATTTTTGTAAGAATCTAATTTACAGATGGTAGCAAAATTGGCAAGGATAAGCTCACACGCTTCAATAGTAACTTCCGTAGTAGGCCTGTTGGACTGGAGCCTGTTGCTGAGCTGGAGTAAAAGCTGCCGTCGTGGCTGGTTGGACATAGCTTTGCTGTGGGAAAGTCTGCTGGGAAAACATGCATATTATTATTTATTTGTTCTTTAGACTGTGTTTGGTTTCAGTGCAAATTTATTTGCACTAGCACAAATGCATGGGAGTGCAAATGTAAAAAATGCAAATTGTTGTCTAATTTTGTTTTGGATTTTACTTTGTCTGCTTCATGTCTTAATTTACTTTATTTGTACTGCAATCAAACAAAATAAGCTAAAATTTGAAGCAAAAATAGGTCAGAATTTACAGTCATGGTTTTGCATCAGTGCAATTTTATTTGCATTGCAACCAAACACAGCAATAAATACACAAACATACATGAAAACACTTGTAGAAATGTGCAAACACAGACCAAAAAATGCCCTTCCAAATGACTCAATTAGAGTATGCATCTGGCGCTGCAACCACGGTCACACACGGACTTTCACCAAAGTAAGCTATTGAAGATTCAAGGTTTTAATTTCAAAAAATAAACTAGTAATAGAAAAGGGTTTTCATGGGACTCAAAGCCTCAAACATGCTTCGCCAATAATGGATATGTGCTGGAAATATGGAGCCTCTTGGGGCAGGGTTGTGACATGGAAAATTCCTCATAGTCTAATCTTACCAGGCAACATGTGGATGTTTTTGACTCCCTAAACCAGGCCTATGTAGGCAATATATGGGCAATAGGAAAACCACAAGCATAGAGAATGTTGTCATGCTATATGATTTTTCTTTTTTAGGAAGACAAGTATTGTATTGCTGAAGAGGGGAAAAATCCCTAGTGAATACAGCTCCTCCAAGAAAAAGGGCAGAGAGTGTAAACCAGTGTTTTCGAACCGTCATTGACCCAAAAGGACAGACCGTTCGGCCTAGAAACTGTCCAGGCAACCGGTTCCGTTTCACCCTTAACATGGTCTGAGAACCACTAAATCGGGCAGTCAAACTGTTGACCCATTCAACCCAGACAGCAGAGAGCAATGTTACCTGCCGTTGACCCGGACGGTCAAACCATTTGAACCGTTACCCAGACAGAATTCCGGGTTCAGTTCAGTCAAGAACCGTCAGGTGGTCAAAAACCATAGACTTGGTCAAGAACCATTCGACCCAGCCAGTTCAACTGTTGACCCGGTGACCAGGTCACAGGTTGCATACTCAATGCATGCAAACTTTCGGAGGCGATAACTTTGCACTCCGATGTCCATTTTTTTTACTTTGGGTAACTTTTCAATATCTGTCCCAAATTGCATTTTTTGCAAAAAAACCCTTTTTTGACCTCAATTGCAATTTTTAATATTTTTATAAATAAAAAAAATTAAAAAAATGAATTTAAAAACATAAATTAAATATAAAATAATACATATATAACATATCTAAAACATATTTATACATTATCTATTGTTAAAATATGTATTTGTACACACACACACACACATATATATATATATATACTTAATGCATACATGTGCTGACACGGCATGGTCTGAACTGTTCAACCCAGTCAGTCAAACCGGTGACCTGCAAACCGGAGGCAAAAATGGTTCGCCCTCCAGGTCGGTTTTTAAAACATTTGCAGAGAGCGACTGAAGAGAAAACAAGATTGTAGAGGTTGGAGAAAAATCAGATCTCAGTTCTCGGATCTGAGATCTGCATTTCTGTTGTCGCTGTCTCCATCACCATTGTCATCGCTGGTGTTCTTTCTTTCTTTCTCAGCTGACAACCACATACTCATAGTCTCTCTTACTCATAAAAGACTTTGAGTAACAAACAATATTTGGCCTCATAATCCAAACCACCTGAACCATTCGACCCAGAAACCGGTGGCCACAGCAGTTCCGTTTCCAGGTCGGTTTTTTAAAACCTTGGTGTAAACTATTCACATCATTTACAAAAACGATACGACAACAAGAGATCAGCCGAAAATGAGAATGCCAATGATTTGGTTCCAATGGTTACATAATTGATGAAAAGAAGATCCCAAATTCCTCTTCAGAGTGACCCATTAATAGTCTTTCAATTACCAACCACAGCTTCCACTGGAGATGCTGAGCCTCTGAAAATACAACTGTTCCTCTCCCACCCAGAAAATGAAAAGAGGAAAAGATGGTCCTAGTTGCTGAAATCCTCTTCAGGCCAGACGGAAAACAGAGTACAGATGTTGAGTATGGGCAGTGGAGTAGATGGCTGACTGATTCCCAACCATTCTCACATGAAGAGTATCACAATCACCATGCCACTAATCATAAGATTGTCTATAGTTTGGATCTTGTTTAAGATCACAGCCTATGAAAAAGTACAACTTTAGAAAGCACCCCTAACTTCCAAATCCACTTCCAAGGGTCATCATCTGAACCTTGAGCTGCCAACAAGAGGGAGTAGGATTTAACAGAGAAAGACCCACCATTACTCCCTCTCCAGATTCTGCAATCGGGTACACCGGGGAGGGGGGGGGATGGAATAGATTCTTACCAACAAAGAACATAGTTCCTCCGCTTCCCAGGCCTGAATATTTGACATCAGGCTAGGAGTCGACACCACATGATCTTCAATGATTCCATAACAGCTCCACACTGAGACTTTTTTTTTTTTTTTTTATCAATACACACCGAGATTTCTTTGTCTCTTGCCAACTCAAAAATGTGAAGGCCACACCAAATATCCTTCCAGAAGCAGATTCTCTCACCACTTCCCACTTTTAAGGAAATCCACTGTGAGGAGTCCAATTGCTTCATGATGTCCTTTCAACAGCTAGACACATAAGATTGTAAAATGGAATTTGTAATCCAATCCAACACATCCACCCAATACTTGAATTAAGCTCATCAACAAAGTTTGTCTCCAAATACCAAACCGCCAAATACACTAGCCTAAGAGGGCAGTATTCATAGATTTAAATGAGTGCAAACCAATTCCCCCTTTCAATTTGGGAAGACAGACCTGATCCCAAGCCACCATATGACGCTCTTTTGGTCCTCTGCCCCTTCTCATAAGAAATCACGCCTTAGTTTCTCAAGCTGATGGATGATCTCCAATGGATGGTGAAAAAGAGAGAGAATATATTCATAAATTTTATAGGAAAATAGAGCACTCTGTATCAAACTTACCTTGCCACGTTTTGATAACAAAACACTTTTCCTTTCAGCCATCTTCTTACTCGTACATTCGATAACAGGAGCACCAATCTCTTTGGACTTATAATTAGTACCCAGTGGCAGCCCCAAGTACTTTGTTGGGAGTGAGTCTACTCTGCATCCCACTGACATCGCCATGCTATATATACCAATACATTATATATTACTCTACAAAAAAATTAAAAAAAAGCAATACATTATATGATCAGTACTGACCTTCAAAACAGTTAAGCTTATTACATCCCCTCAGCCTGTGATAGGTTACTGCCTACCTCAGGGTTCCTTCGAGGGTAACTGACCTCCAGAGAGAGAGAGAGAGAGCTCTGTATTCTTATTCTCGATTGATAGAAGGCACAGCTTATTCTCGATGGATGGGCTTGGGCCTAGAGCTGCTCTGGTGCTGGGCAGGGGTTCCTCTTCTGTGTATACACCATCGTGATTGGTGGTCGTGGTCCAATGGTATAGCGGGCTTTGCTTGGGCCAGCCTCTGGGTTCTCACCATCTCCTCCCTCCTTCAGATTGACCTTGGCCTCAAGGTCAAGATCTGGGAACTGGATTTGCAACTCCGAGTAAGGTTCCCAAATGGCAGTCTGTTCTAGGTAGTCCCTCCCACTCAACTAGAGCCTCCTGGATGACCTGCTTCCCTTTCTTAACCCACCTGAAGTCCGTAATGGTCTTGGGTTCAGTAACTAGGCCTCCGTCATCAGTGAATGTGGGCAATGTTGGGCTGATGATGGCCTGGGGGCTGGTGCACTTCTTGAGCAAGGATACATGGAAGACTGGGTAAATGCAGGAGGAGGGGTGAAGCTCCAACTTGTAGGCAACAGGACCAATTCCCTCCAGGATCTTGTAAGGACCGAAGTAACGGGGTCCAAATTTCAGCCAAGCCCTCTTTGTGATTGAGATTGACGGTAGGGTTGCAACTTCAGGTAAACATATTCCCCGACCTGATACTCTACCTCAAGATGCTTCTTATCGTAGTAGAACTTCATCCTTTGTTGGGCCCGGTTCAGGTTGAACTTAAGCTCCTGTAGTATCTCATCTCTATTGATCAATTGTGTCTCCACCGCGGCCACATTAGTGGACCGCAAGATGGCGGGAGGATCCCTTCCATACATGGCCTTGAAGGGGGTCATGCCTGTTGCCCCTTGATATGTAGAGTTGAACCAGTACTCAGCCCAAGGTAACCACTAGGCCTATTGTCGTGGCCTGTCCCCTGTAAAACACCTCAAATATGTCTCCAAGCACCTATTTACCACCTCAGTTTGGCCGTCGGACTGTGGATGATAGCTGGTGGACCGATATAGCTTAGTCCCCTGAAGTTGGAAATACTCCCTCCAAAACTGGTTAAGGCTGGATCCCGATCCGAGACAATTGACTTCGGAGTTCCATGTAACTTGGCAACATCTCTGATAAAAATTTCAGCAACCATTGCAGAAGTGTAAGGGTGCAGAAGTGCTGAGAAGTGTGCATACTTGCTCAGGCGATCAATGACCACCATTATAACTAAATACCGGTTGGACTTGGGCAACCCAGTAATGAAGTCCATTGAGATCTCCTCCCACACCTATGAGGGTATTTTGAGAGGCTGCATCAATCCGAGAGGTGCCTGGGAATCATACTTCTGCTGCTGACAAATAGTACAGGCAGCCACATATTGTTGGACCCTTCTTCTCATACCAGCCCAATACTAGTGTGAAGACGGCCATTTATAAGTTCGCAAAACACCAAAGTGCCCCCCTTGAGGTGAATAATGAAATAGTCGTAAGAGAGCAGGAATGTGTGGTGAGGAGGAAGGTAGCACGTACTGACCCTTGTATAGGAGATCTAGGCCCATCATGCTGTATCCTGGCACTGTGGTGGGATCTTGCTGATAACAGGCCCGTATCTGGGCCAATT